TTATGAAAGCATTCAGTTTGGGGGGATTATCCCCAGCAGTGCTCAGGGGGCGCACTTCCACCAATAACTGGAGCAAAGGGTCAGATTATTATGTCTGGGGCCTGAGTGGATATGATTCAGGTACAGCTGTTCTGGATGCCTCTGCTGCAGAAGCATACAGTGTTTGGCACCACCCTGTTTGTGAAGGTCCCTTCTATTAAAGAACATTGCCTGGACCTCACTCTTTCTAGAAGTAGCCAAGGTCTTAGGTGTTGGTTCTTCTTTTCACTTCTTTAAAAGTGCTTCTTTTAAATCCCCACACTAAAACAACATTTTGTGCACTTTGGTTTTTTGCCTTAGAAGAATCTGCCACCGTTTTGGTTTTTCCTTGCTTTTCAGTTTCATCAAAATGGTGTGGTGTTAACTTGCATGCTTTCCCCCTCTCTTTTCCTGATATTGTATTTTAAAAATTACTTGCTGTGTTTTAAAGATTGGAGAGAGAGACAGAGAGAGAGAGACAGAGAGAGAGAGAGAGAGAGAGAGAGAGAGAGAGAGAGAGAGACAGAGACAGAGACAGAGACAGAGACAGAGACAGAGAAGAAAGTGTCTGGTATAGAGACAGGCTGGGATAGGAGTTGGCAGGAGGAAAACTGGAGACATTGGTGGTAGGAAATGTACCGATGTTGGAACATTGCATGACTAAAACTCAATCATGAACAATTCTGTAACTGTGTATCTCACAGTGATTCAATTAAAATTTTTTTCCTTAAAGTTCAACATGCCAACATAAAGATTTGTATTAAAATTGCTACACAAAAATGTAACATTTTCCGCTGACACTCTGACTCAAAGAAGCAGAGACTGTTTTTTATGATTTCTGGAATTTTATAGGCATTTGTGCTACACCAGTGGTACTCAGAAGCTACTCAGGTGGTAGCTCACTGCTCCGGGTCACACCCTACATAGTTCAGGGAAACGTGTAGGGCTAGGGAGAGGGCCTGTGCCTGGCAGGACCTGAGCAAGGGCCACAGAGCCGTTTCTCTGATCCATCTCTATTTTAACATTGGATTTCTACAGAGTACACATCCATGTGACGATATATGAATGCTAAACTATGCAGTGAGATATAGATGGCATGATGAACTGATTTAAAAATGCATGTATTGTAATAAATTTATACAATAATAAGAAAAAGAAAGATTGGCTCCTTTCGACTAGACTATAAAGATGGTCATTCCTTTTCACTATTTGATGACCTTCCTTGCTAGGAATTTATCAACATATGTTGTAACAGTGAAAATTAGCTTCTTAAAATTTTTTTTTTACCCTTTGTCTATTTCATTTGGGGTGGCAGGGGAATCTAGTGCGTTAGAGTACTTTGAGAAAAAAATGGAGTACTTTGAGAGAGCACTGTTTTCAAGCAAACTTCAAACACACACACACATACACACACACAACACACACACACACACGACCAATAAACTTCTTCCAAAGAAGGGAATTTAATAAACTACTTGGGGGAAACTGCAAAAAAAAAAATCTGGTTTACAGACAGTGAGTTTGTAAAGCAAAGACTCCGATTAATGTCTTATTACATGGTCTTAATTCCCATGTTGAGAAAGTAAGTCTGACTTTGGTGTGTAGTGTGTAATAATGCAAATAAATAAAAACCACCGTTTTCCATGAGATCAAGGCAAGGGTGTACAGTAAAGTTTTGAGTTTGTTCCCTAAATTTAAACTACACAGTCAGAAATAATCTAATCATGTGAAGAATCTTAGTGGTACGCACTGTTTTCAAGAAAAGACACTTAAATTCCCTAAATGAAAAACCACGCAGCAGCTCACTCCAAAGGAAACAATTGCAAGCATTTCTGAGTTCTCTTTAACCCCCTGTGTTCTCAGGAACAATGGAATGGACATTTAGTATGGCTGGGACTGAAAGCACATTGTGCAGTATCTAAACATCTTTATATTAGCATTTGCCTCTTAAAATCAGATCTAAACGTTTGCCTCCATTTACAAGTATGTATCAAAAACAAAACTGTGAACACTAAAATAAGTGAAAATTTAACTTGAAAATCTCTTAGATGTTCCTGAAGAACGGTTCTGTCCTAATAAGACCAGCCTCCAGATCTTTTGAAAGAACCCCTTTCAAATCAGTGACACAACGTACTTATTTCCACGGAGTAACTAAATTTTTCAGTGAGAAGATGCAAAATTTTGCCGAGATTCTTCTGCTGGCTTTTTCCCCCCTCTCCGGGAACGTCCAGTAGTATCTAAAAAAATGCTAGTTTGGCTGGTAAATTCTGAATTTCAGTTCAACAAAAGCGCGGAGAACAAGTCTCTTATGTTAAATAAAAATAATTTTCCTTCTAGACAACTGAGTCGGGGAACTATGCTACATATTTCCAAGGGTGGGGGGGGGGGTAAACGATGGTTAGGAGTCGGTGTGTGTGTGGGGAGGGAGGGAGGTTTCCATTCTGATAGTGTGGAATTTGCTTGCAGCTCTCCATTTGAGAACCTAAAGCTTGACGAAGGATGATATGGTTCGGCACGGAGACCTTTTACAATCGGACGGCAGCGAAAGCAAAAAGCAAGCGACCCGTGGCACCGGTCCGCCGGCCGCGCGCGGCCCGCAGTGTAACTCATTAGCATCTTCTTATTTATTATTGACATCAATTAGCCTGAGTCATGAGCCCGGGCCCCATTAAAGGCGACACGTGGCCCAATCGCTATTTTTGAAAGTCCACGTCTTACGGGCTCCTCTCCCGGCCGTGGCGCGGCTGCTGTCGGCGTCGGGAAAGGGGATGCGCTCAGCCCTCGGCTTCTAAGCCGAGCCCTCCGGGCAGCGCGGCTCGGGAGAAGCCTCCCCGGCGGCACGTTTAAGAAAAGCCGAGGTGGCGATCTGGGGTGCGCGCGGGTTTCTGGACACTTACGTAGCGGCGGAGCGGGAGGAACGTGCCCGGGGGAGCCCGAGGCAGGTGCGGGCGCGACAGTGGCGCAGTCTCCGCCGAGCCCGCGTCGACGCGGCGCGTTCCCAGGCTCCCCGCCCCCACCCCCTCCCCGCCTCACGGAGCTAGGACCCGCATGGGTGCGCTCGGCGCCTTGCACCGGACCCCCTCGGACACCTCCTCGGCGCCCTTTCCACTCCTACCCAGCTCCCTGATTCTGGGCCCGGCCCAGGGCGCGCGCTCCGGCCGCATCCCGCAGCCGCCCACGTGGTGGGCTCCGGGGCTCTGGGGCGCGCTCGGGGCCAGCCGGGGGTCGCCTCCTGGAGGCCCGCACGGCCGCACCCCACCGGCCCCTCGCCCGGGCCCCCACGTTTCCTCTCTCGGGAGGGAGGCGGCCCCCGACCGGCTAGCCAGTCCTCCCGGCGCCTTCCGCGCCCTCTGGCGGCCGTCGCGGGACGGCGCCCTGGGCACCCGGGCCGCCAGCCCCGGCCCCTCTTTCCCAAGCGGCGGGCGGGTTCCCCTCGGACCCACCACCTCCCCGGCCGGCCGCGCCCTGCTTCGTCGGCTCCCCCGCGAGCCCCGCAGCTCCTCCATGGCGCCCCGAGAGGGCGTGCAAGTGGCCGTTTAGGATGCCGGGGTGCGGTGGGCGGGGACGGTGCGCGCGCGCGCGCGCGTGTTTGTGTGTGTATGTGTTTGTGTGTGTTGGGGGGGTGCAGGTCGCCTTTCTCCCAGGTGCGCCCCTCTCGGCCGCCACGTTCTGGCCCGCCGGCGCGCGGCTAGGAGAACGCCGTCTGCGTGCCCTTATTTCTTTATTTTGCAACAACAGCTGCCAGAAACAATGAAGCTTTTCAAGAACCCGGGAAGCGTGCGGCCCAGGCCGGCCGTGGTTGTTTGCAACGAAGCTCCCCGAGTCCCCGGCCGCTCGGGGTCCCCGCCCTCTCCCCGCCGCCCCACTCTCCCCCACCCCCTGTCTCTGCACCCGCGCGCGGCCCGGCGCCGCCGGGGGCATTGTTTTTGGAGTCTTTTGCGGGCGGCCGGGGCGCGCGCAGGGCGGCCGGCGCAGTGCGGGTGGGGGCGCGAGCGTGGGGGTGCGCGTGGGGGGCGGTGCCTGTGCACCCTCGCGCTCCACGCTGGGGCTCCCGCTCCGCACGTCCCTGCGATCCGGGGCTCCGGCTCTTAGCGCGCGCCGGCTGGGCCGGGCTCCGGGCGCGCGGCGGCGGCGGCGGCGGCGGCGGCGGCGGGGGGCGCGCGGGGGTGCGCGGAGCGCGCGCGCGCACGGCCGCGCCAGCCCCCGATGTGTGGCAGCGGCGGCGGCGAGGCTCTTGTTTACCAGCCTGAACTCCACTGAGCTGAGAAAGGGAAAAAAAAAAAAAGGGAACCCCCCCTCCTTTCCCCCCCCTCTCCTCCCGGAGGAGCTCGGGAGCGCACCGGGCGAAGTCGGGAGAGGCCAGAGAGCGCCAGGGAGGCTGCCAACCTGCCTGCCCTCGGCGGCGCGCCCGTGCCTGGCGCTGGCAGCCCCTCGGCCCCGCTGCCCCGGCCCTCCACGCCCCGGCCGTGCGGGGGTCGCCCCCCGACGCGCCGCACGCCCCGACTTTGACCTTCAGCCGAGCCCCCGCGCGCGGAGCCGGTGCGGGACGGCGGGAGTGCGGGGCGGCCCGGAGCTTTGTGTGTGTCCTGGATTCGGGAAGGAGCTCACGGCGGCGGCGGTGAGGGAGTCCGAGGAGGAGGAGGAGGTGGAGGAGGAGGAGGAGGAGGTGGAGGAGGAGGAGGAGGTGGAGGAGGAGGAGTAGCCGCTCATTCATTTCTACTCCGCATTCCGGCCCCTCGCCGGCCTCGCCCGCCACCCGGACTTCGGGGGCCGACCGTGCCAACTGCGTCGCGCCCTCCCGCCGCCGGGGTTGGGGCGTCGCATTGCCGCCCCCCGCCTCCCCCCCTCCCTCCTCCTCCTCGACCCGGGAGCGGCTCGCTCGTCCCTTGGCTGGACGGGGCTGGGCTGGCCCACCCACCACCCCCCTTTTTGGGGCCGCCCCCCACCGCCCCCCCCCCCCCCCCGGGCTTGAAAATGGAGGCCGACGACGCTGACAGCCCGCCCCGACGCGCCTCGGGTGCCCCAGTCCGCCGAGCTCTGCGCAGCGGCTGCCGGAGCTGAGCGGCCGCCCCGCGCCCCTCCCGCCGTCCGCGCCGCCTTCGGAGCCGCGGCGCCGGCGCCCTGGGTCTGGCTGGAGGGCGGACCCCGGACCGAGTGCGAGACTTTTTTTTTTACCCCCCCTTCCTTTTCCTATTATTTTTTATTTTTCGGAGAAAGGGCAGTTGCGTCCCAAAGCAAAGGAATGAAGTCTGGCATCGGAGTGCCCTGGACCTCGGCGTGGGGGCTCCTGTTTCTCTGCGCCGCGCTCTCGCTCTGGCCGACGACGGGAGAAAGTGAGTGTGGTGCCCGCGGCCTCTGCGGGAACTTTTCTTCCGAGGGGGGCTTCGCCCGGGGTGCGCCACCCGAGGGGTCCTCGACGCTCGGGAGCGGCGGGGCCGTCCAGACCCTGGGGAGGTGGGAGGCTCTCGGGGTGGGTTGGTTCGGAGCTCCGCGGACCGGGGTACCCCCACCCCTCGGTGCGCGCAGGGAGCTTCGGAGAGGGGAGGGGGTGTTTGTCGCCTTCCCTCCTTGGCGGTCGGGGCCACCGTCGGGGAAGTTTGCACCTCTCTCCCGGGGCGTGGGGGTCGGGGACACCAAGGGAGGGACCCCTGTCTGGGCGCAGACGGTGGGGACAGTTCCCCGCGGACGCGCGCAGCCTTCGCAGCTCTTGGGGCTGGTTAGGTGCGTGGTGGTGAGGCGCCTCGCGGCCCGAGGTGCGAATTGTCTTCGAAGGGGCGGCGCCCCGGCCTCAAGGCCCGAGCCCCAGGACACGTTTACAGTTCCCCCCCACTCCACCCCCCCACCCCGCGGGCGCGCGCATCTTCTGGCCGCCCTACTGGCGTCGCGCACCCCCCACCCCCACGCGCCACAGGACTTTTGGGGTGCTTGGCTTTGCCCTCTTCGCTTTTGCCATATCTGAGTTACTTTGCCCGGGACTCCAGAGCTGCTTTGTGTGGCCTGGGGAATCCGGAGAGCGCACCTTTTGGAATTAACCGAGGGCCCCCCTTGTCCCGAAGTCTGTGGGAAAGTACAAGGCTAGGGGGCCAAGTTTAGGGTTCCCCAGTTTAGAGGGTCTTGGGACTTTACCCCAGTTACCACCCTATCTTGGACCGTCTGCCTGGCCAGTGCGGACCGGGGATGGGGGGCCGCCTGCGAGGGTGCGGGCGTGGGTGCGCGGTGGGCGCCCGAGGTGCCAGGCCACGCACGTGCTCCCGACGCGGGAGTGTCGCCGCTGCTGCCTGGCCGCTCGGGGAGCCCCTCGCTGGCTCGGGGGGTCGTTCGCCAGGGGCTGCGGCGGCGCGAAGTGAGAAAGGAGGGTGCTTGGCGAGCGCACAGTCGGGTCCCGGGACCCGCGGCCGAACTGGGGCGCGCGCGCTCTTCTCACCGGCCCGCACCTCCTTGGTACCGCGTCCAGAAGCGACGTCGCCCCGAGCGCGCCTGCCTCCCCCCACCCCCGCCACCCCTCAGTCTGATCGCTTTTGTTTTGTTCTTGTTGGAGTCGGGCCCCGGGGTGGGGGTGCCACGAGGGAGCGCGCACTCCCCGCCCCGGGGCGTCGGGAGGGAGGAGGCGCTGAACCGGGGTGTCCCGCGTCTCCCCAAAACACCCCACTGTGACCCCCCCGTGTGTTCGCACTGGGAGGATAATAGGAACCCACGAAAGTTTGTAGGCAGCCAGAGACCCGGGGCGGGAACGGGGAGGGCGGACCGTGAGTAACGTTTGCCCGGGGTGTGCGGGCAGGTGGTGCCAACTCACTCGGAAAAATCACGACGGAGCCTGGAGTGGGGGCCCGTCCCCGGGGCGCTGCAGAAAGACCGTTTACAGAAGCAAATCTTTTCATAATGATAAAAAAAAATTGTCTGGGGTCCCGCGTGCCCGACGGATTGGGCTGGAATGCGCGTGTAGCGGCGCGCGTCCCCCACCTCGGAGCCGTCCTGTTCTTTGTGTGTTGAACTTGGAGAGCGCTGGGCTGGGAGAAAGGAGGATTGTTTTGTTTTGTTTTGGTTTTCTCCCCCAGCCCTCCTTTCGCTTCTCTTCTGGGCTTACCCAGACTAATGTCTGGGGGGCAAGGGGATGGTTGGGGGGGCACATGAACAGGATTTGCAGCCCCCACCTCTAGCTAAACCTAGTTTGGAAGACGGTGAGGAGTGTTCAGCCACTTGATGGCTGCAAGCGACTCCACGTTCTGTTGTTCCTCTTAATTTTACTCTTTCCCATTAAGTGTTGGTGGGCTCCAGAGCTGTGGAGCTGATGAGGGCAGAGAGGGAGTCGGACATTAAAAAAAAATAGGGTGCCTTCTTGTTGGGGCCCCCAGGGGAAAACTTTCTGGCCAAATGGGGCATGACCAGCTAGCTTGCTCTTACTCCACCGTCTTTTGGGACTGGCGGGTTCCTGAAAAGCTGGTGGCCATGCAGAATTTGCCCCACTCCCTGGCGTTGGTCAAGTCTGACTGTAACGGCCGCCCCGCCCTGATGAAGTTCTCAGTTGCAAATGGTGTCTCCTTCGTGGACGTGGCCAAGACCACTTGGCTGGGATGGCGGCCTCAATCCCATCCCACATTTTCTTCCTGCCTGAGGAACTCTGGGGCGGTGTTGGGGCCCGGCTGTGTTTGCGTGGCAGTTGTGGGGGGGGCTAGTGGTGGATTTTTCCCCCCCTTCTTTCTCTCCTTCCATCTTTTGCATAGAAAATGTTGAAGTTTGATTCTCTGGAGGTCAGAGAGTTAGGAGCTGGAGGAAAAGTGTCGAGGGCTTTGTTTTGCTTCTCTTCAGGCTCTGAAAACCTCCCTCTGGGGCTGGAGAGATAGCACAGATAGGAAAGGCGTTTGCCTTACTGGAGGCCACCCTGGCTTCCATCCCCAGCACCCACTCTGGTCTCCCAGCACAGCCAGGAGTGAACCCGGAGTGTAGGGTTGGGAGTAAGCCCTGAGCACCCCAGTGTGTCACTCAATACCCCTCAAAGAACTCCCCCCCCAAAAAAATCAAAAAACAACAACCCAAATAACTTCTCTTTGTTCTACCAACATAGCTAGGAGTGATCCCAGAGTGTGGGGCTGGAAGAAGCCCTGAACAGCCAGTTGTAGCCCTCATCCCTCGCCCCCCACCAAAAAAAAAAAAAAAAAAAAAAAACAACAACAAAAAAATCCCTCCCTTCTGGTTATCTGGGGGGGGGGGGGGTCACGGAACCTTCCATTTTCCCTCCACGCATAGTCTTGGTTTATTTTACAGCAGGGAAAAAAAATAGGTACTTGTCTTACTTCCAGTGGCTTGGGTAGTACCAACTGATAAAATTTGAATTATTTTCTAGATCTTGGGAGTTGGTGAGGGGAGTCAGAGTCCTTCCGAGAGGGCCAGGGCGTGGGTCAGCATGCAAAGCTGAGAGGCCTGTGTGCTGAACTCCGGGAAGGAGGTGATGTGTCCATTTTGAAGCAGGAGGCGTAAAACTCCATGAGTCCATCAGGGGCCGGGAAGGAGGTGGTTTTTGCATAAGGGTGGGTGAGAAGAAGAGGTGAAGTTTCTGTTAGTGGGTACCCGTTTCTTTCTAAAATTAGAGCGTACTGCTTGGAGGCACAAGGCGGACTGTATCCATTAGTGTTGACTGTCTGCGATCCCTAGAAAAGTGGCTTTGGTTTGGGGGTGCTTGGGGCTTTTTTTTTTTCTTCTTTTATGCATGGAACTTGGAAAGAATGCTCTCTGTCGCCTTGAACTTAGAAGTCAGTTTGTACCCGTGCCTCAGTCTCTCTGGAGTCTGGCGGGTGACTTCCAAAACCACAGCTAGGCACGGGGAGGCTTAAACACGGGGAGTTGGGGGGACGCGCTCTGCCACGAGGGCAGTGCGGACGCAGGGAAGGGAGGCAGACAGGGGCTGCGGCAACGGTTCCCGGGGCTGGAATTTAAAAAAAAAAAAAAGAACACAAATGTTGGAACAGGTCGGTTGGTGACAGGCTTATAGCCCACCGAATGAGAGCAAATTGATCTTTCCGAGATTAAAGTCTAGATGAGTTTTTGTGTTTCCATTTCCCCTTACATATGTTTTCCAGAAAAGAAAGTCTTAAGATGGTAAAGAATTTTCACTCTCCCTTAAAAAAAATTAAGACACACACACACACACACATATAGTGCTATATTAGTCCTTCATGGAGAATGTGTTATTCGTTTTAATTTTGCCTCTGCTACCTTTTTTTTTCCTTCACTCGTTGCAGGACAAATAACAGTTTGCTCTATAGAATATTGTGGTATTTTCTAGGCTTGGCTTTTTTTTTCGGTTGTTTGTTTAATAATTAAAGTTGAGGGACAGAAGAGCCCTGAATCCAGGAGAGGCGTATTTGTTTTAACCCTTTGGACCTTTATCTACATTTACCTGAACCTCTTCTATACCTCTCACGTACAGAGAAGAGGTGCAATTTACACACATTTCAGGTTTTTGGGGTGCCAGGCCTCCAAATAAAACCGTCCTGTCCCCTGCTTGTGGCCTGATAATGCACAGACAGGAGTCACGTTGGTATCACTTTTCCTTGTCCCAGCTGAATTTTCCCGAATCCTCAGACCCTAATTTCCTTTTCGGTCTGGTTGGTTTTGTAAGAATGTGTGAGAGACGCCACCAGGGCTTGCCAGCACCTTGGGGCCACCTGTTGGATCCGGCGCCCGCGTCACGTGCCTGCCCTACCCAGAGGAATTTGCTTTTGTCCCTGGGGCCCGTCAGAGCCTCCTGGCTGCCAGAGACAGAGGGGCTTGAAAATGCTGATCCTTCCCAGACAACCTGTCCTTTAAAGGGCTGAGCCGGACCAGGGAGAGGCAGCTGCCCGGGTCAGCGATACTGCCTGCAGGTCCCAGCAGACCATCACCTGTCATCTCCATGGTCCAGGGCTCTTCGGGTTGTTGTTTTGGGGAGTACCCCCTGTGGTGTTCAAGGACAACTCCTGGTGGGGTGCAAGGAATCACTCCTGGTGGGGCTCAGGGGACCATGTGAGCTGATCTTCACACTTGTCCTATCTCCACGGCCCCTAGCACTCTAACAAGTATGCTCAAATCGTGCATGTGTGAGAAGCTGTTTTCAGCCCCCCCCCCAATTGGGGTGCTTGTCCCCTGTGGGTCCCGGGAGGTCGCTGGCCCCCTAGCAAGGCTGTGCAGCTGACTCCGGTCTAGGTCTCTGCACTTCCCCCGACACTGGAAACTCCCAAGAGCCTTCCCCAGCCTTCATGCCGAGCGCCACAAAAGGTGGCCTGTGTCCAAAGTGTGAGGGCTGGGGGGGGGGGGGAGGAGGGAAGGATCAGGGGTGACCTTTTATCTGATGGCAAAG